GGTACCAGATGACCTTTGACAGTGCCAAGTCCAAGCTGACAAGGAATAACTTCGCAGTGGGCTACAGGACTGGGGACTTCCAGCTACACACTAATGTGTAAGTATTCCTTTTGTAGGGTGTGGTGATATTGCTTGTTGAACTCTTTATTCAGTTTCAACCGAATTGGTTTAGGATTTTTTTTTTTTTTTGTTTTGTTTTGTCTTTTTGAGACAGGGTCTCGCTATGCAATTCAGGCTGGCCTTGAGCTCACTTTGTAGCCCAGGCTGGTCTTGAACTCGCAGTGATCCTCCTGCCTCAGCCTCCTGAGTGCTGGGATTACAGGCGTGAGCCACCACACCCGGCTCAGTTTAGGATTTCTTGTAATAGAAAAATCTGTGGCTGTATCTGTGGTGCCTTTCAGAGGTATATATTAAAAACATTGGTCTCAGGTGGGAACTGAGAGTAAATGTTCATCTCCTGTCAGGCCTGACGAGCTGTGTACTTTTAGAAGATGCACTAGGCAGTGGTAGACTCTGCCATTGTATGTGGCTTTGTCACCTGTGGGGTGCTGATTTGACCGGGTGGCCTACCTGAAATGAAGTGTTTCTTTCTGTTGTTGTTTTGAGATAGGGCCTTGCCATGTAGCCAGGCTGGCCTGGAACTTGTGGCACATGCTCTCCTGAGCTGCCTCCCAGTCCTGGCAGTGGCTTTCCTTTAAGTGCTTGTGCCTTAGAAATGAGGACATCTTCTGTTGTAGATTTATTGATTTAAGATGTCTTACAGCAATGACGGGACAGAATTTGGCGGATCAATATATCAGAAAGTGTGTGAAGATCTTGACACTTCAGTGAACCTTGCTTGGACCTCAGGTACCAACAGCACTCGCTTTGGCATTGCTGCTAAATATCAGCTGGACCCCACTGCTTCCATCTCTGTGAGTACCTCGGGGGGCTTCGGGTGGGATTTTGCTTTGGGGTGAATTGAGTTGTGTTGAAGATTGAACTGTGAATCCCATTTGCCTTAGTTTCCAGATGAGTTGGGTTTAGCATTTGGAATGCTACTTTTCCTACATTCCCATTTTAGAAGGTTTTTTTTTTGTTTGTTTGTTTTTTTAGGCCAGGCCACACTAGTTGGTTTAACCTTAAAAGCCATTGAACAATTATTTATTAGGACCCTGAGACCCAAGCTAAGTGTGGCTCGTTGGTGTTTTAGGCACTTAGGCAGTTCTGATCTGTTATTTGTAGTTTAACTATTACTTTTGTCTTTTTACGGCTTATGAAACACCGTTAGATTAAGAAACTGAAGCTCGGGAGGCAAAGCACTCCAGCTGCCGGGGCGGGCGTGGAGTGCACTCTGAGTGCTTCATTTCAGTCTTGTGAGGATGTGAGGCATACTGCCCTGTGTCCAGAACTAACTGTTCCCCAGGATACCTCCTTCCCTCTGCAAAGGGCACAGTGGTATATTGGCCATCCTAGTCCTATCCGTAGACTCTGTCTTCGGTGTGTCCCTTCAGACATTGTGGCTGGGCGAGGCAGGGGTGGAACAGTGCGGCCAGTCCGGGTGCCGAGGGGCCGGCTTCAGTTGCAGGCAGGTCAGCAGCTGTTCTCACACATCAGTTGCCTGCAGGTCAGGGACTGTCTGTACTGTATGGAGGGGGAGTGAAAGGAAGGCAAACCACCCGTGAGTGATGTCGGTTACATGAAGTGCTCTCCACCCTGGAGGGCAGTGCGATTGATAGTCTAGGCAGTTGGCGGTGCCTTGCTGGCTGTTATCAGAGAGAGCAAGCAGCAGCCAGCATGCTTTTCCCATTGGCAGGGCGGTGGTTTATTTATTTTCTCTACTATGATAATCAGAACCTCAGCACATTTCTCTGTTATAGTGCTGTTCTCAGGGTAGGTCCCTAGCTTTTAAACTTTTCCCCCCTTATTTGATACATTTGCAATACATAATGAATACATTCATTTGGGAAATTGGTACATGCACATCCCAAATCTTGAGCCTTTTTATTTCCCTTTCCTTTCGCCTCCTTCCTGCCCATCACAGATTTAATATCGGCCTGCAGAAGCTTTGATGAGCCATGGGAAGATCATAGTTTAAATGGAAAATAGCTTGAGACCAGTGTGTCCGTGTGTGTGGCTGCAGGAATTGTTTGGAACCAGATTAGCACTTTCCTGAAGTAGGGCTGCTGTCTCCCCAGGCCAGCAGGGCCTGAAAGCAGTGCTTACTGCGCCTGTCACAGTTGAATGGTTGACTCCTGTTAGATAATAGGAACTTATGTGCAGCTTACCAAGGCTCTTAATTTGTTGGGCAGAAGATGGTCATTAGCGGGTATTTCTTTAGATGCTTAACACACATGATTATTGGTGGCTCAGTGAGCATCATGATTGTGGCTATGCTAGTGACCATAAATAATGCATTTGTGGCTTTTCCTGTGTGGTTACATCAATTCATTCTCTGACTTGTATGTTGTTTGATGTTACACATTACAAGAATGTACTCACCAGATAATTCCGTATCTGTTTGGTTACCAGCTGTTTGTATGTTATTCCGTACTCAGACTGCCGAAGAGCACAGTTGCCTGACCAGGCAGCTAGATCCTAGAGCAGAAGTGCTCCTATTTATAGCCCTTGTCCTCTGGTGGGACTTGGTGTTAGTGGTAGTGGAGAGTGGAGCTGTAGAGAGCTTCTCCTTACCATATCTTGCTCTCAAGGGTTCCTGCTATCCTTCGAAGATCTGTGACTAAATCCAAAACTGTTAGGATTGTACAGGGAACTTGGGCCTTGATTGGTAAATGGCACCCCAAGGAGTGGGAGCTCCTCTCAGGCCTGGACTGGTTCCATCAGAACTCAGGGACTTAGAGGCCATGTGAGAATGTGAAATAATTTAAGTGGGAGAATCCTGTGTATTCACATTGTGAATTTAAACTTAACATCCTTCATTCCAAAGGGTGTGGCTCGCCTCTCAGAAGCCTCGTAGACTTCACAGCCCGCTTTTGGCCCGTGCTTGTAGTTAGACTGGACTCAGCAAGGGCTGGTTTTATGGGAGTGGTTGGGCCCTGTTCTGCGGACACAGTGGGTCTGTGGACATATCGTTGGGCTTCACTAAAGAATAGTTTCTTTCCTTACCAAGGGTTAGCCCTGCTGCTCTACCTCGGAGCTACATCCCCATTCCTTTTAATTTTTAATTTTGAATCAGAGTCTTGCTAAGTTGGCCAGCCGGCCTGGAACGTGATACTTTCTTAGCTTCCTGAGTAGTTTGCATGACAGGCCTATCCCCTGGTGCGTAGTGCCCCTCACAATTTGATACTAATTTCATGGAGAATTAAGTGTGTGGCATCTGGATGTTCTTTAGTCTCATACACAGTAGTAAATCGTATCGTCTCCTGTGTTGATTAAAAGTTGAACTCTTCATAATCAAATGATAGGGAGAGCTTTGCCTTTGCATACAAAATTTTTCTTATTGTTGTTTCTGAATTTTATTTCAGGCAAAGGTCAACAACTCTAGTTTAATTGGAGTGGGTTACACTCAGACTCTGAGGCCTGGTAAGTAGTTACACAGTGGATTTATTTTTCTTTTTGGTCTTTTTGACACAAGGTTTCACTGTGCAGCTCAGGCTGGCCTTGACTCACTTTGAGGCACAGGCTGGCCTTGAACTTGCAGCAGTCCTCCTGCCTCAGCCTCTGAGTGCTGAGATTACAGTCATGTGCCATCATGCCCCACAGTGGGATTGTCTTGATTTTGATAGTATTTTGAAAGTTAAATTTTCACTTCTCAGCTTTCTTAAGTATATGGGAGAGATTATTTCTTTCCCTTTCTCCCACCTTCTCCCAGCCATTGGAAAGTGGTTTATCCTGATACTTTGGCTCTGTGTCAGAATAAGAATGTCTTGTTCCACCTAAGAAAGTTAGCAGTGACCCTTCTTTAGACTTCACCCATTCCGGCTGCTTCTGTCTCTGTAGTCTTGTTTACTCCCATCATCTTTGTTCTGGCTGTCCGGAGCAGCGCTTCTCAAAGTTAGCAGGCATGGCAGTGGCTGTGGAGCCTGTTTCAGTGCAGATCCGATCCAGGAGGTCTGGTGCGGAATTCTGTTCTCATAATGAGCTCCGGAGTTCTCTGGTTCTTTCCTCTGTGTTTCTGTGTCTCTGTCTCTCATTCTTAAACCTTTTGACTAGCAAGGTTCTAAAATACTGGGAGCATTCCCCTCCCCCCAGCTGGAATCCTCCCCCCCCAGTTTTATTTTGACTTTTGAAACTTAGAAAAGTCTGAAGAACTGCAGTGAATGTCCATGATTTACTGCTTTCTCCACTTAACTCTTCTTTTTACATAGACTTAGCTGATGTTTTGCAGACATGTGGACACACTTGCCCTGACATTTACAGGCCTAAGAGTAGGACGCTTGTCTTTGTAATTGCAATACCATTTCTACACTGAAGATAGAAAATGCCAGTTTACCTAGTAGGTAGTTTGTATTCTGGTTTCCCGCTTTGTCCCTGCTCCCAAATGTCTTTATTGTTGTTTCTGTTTTCTAGGCTCCAACTATTATTTGATTTCTCTGTTATCTTTCAGTCTGAATAGTGTAAACATTTTCTAGAACGCTTTGAAATAACGTTTTTATGTTCTGTGACTTGGTACCTTTAAAATGGAATTCTTAGTGTCTTGCTACGCCAAGCGCCCTCTGGTGGTGGACGTTAGTAATTCATCTGGCAGTTTGCGGAGCCGCCTGCGGGCTCTGGGGGGCTCTGGGGAGCTCAGGGCTGGGGGCAGTGCTTCAGGTCGGTCATGGTGTTTGCTTTGTTTACAGGTGTGAAGCTTACACTGTCTGCCCTGGTGGACGGGAAGAGCATTAATGCTGGAGGCCACAAGCTCGGGCTTGCCCTCGAATTGGAGGCTTAATCCAGCTGAAAGAAACCTCTGGCAATGGATATCAGATTTGGCCTTAATATATTTCCATTTTGACCAGCAGGCTTTTATTTCCCTCAAGAAGGTGATCAAACAAAGGATGATCTAAACAAGAGCTGTATTTTAAATATTTAGACAGTTACCTTGTTAGTTGGTTTCTAGTTGAATTGGTTATCTAGTTACCAATACTGCAGTCATGCAGTCACCTATACATTATTTAAATGTATTTAACTGTTAAAAACGCTACCCACCAATAATGAAATAGACCTTTATGAAAACTGTGCAGTTGTGTGCATGTTTGTTTTTATGTTCCTTTTAACATTTGAATATTGCCATTGAATGACATGAAAGTGTTTGAAGATGAGGTTAACATTTTTTTGTTAAATTCAGCCATCATCAGATCTGCTCTTGATATCTGCGGATATCACAAGTAAATAAAACAAGTATATGTAATTAACGGCTCCCAGTATTTGCAGAGTTACAGATACGCTGGCTAGGGTGAAATCTCTGTGATACCAACCAAGACACTATTTCTTAGTGAGTGTTTTGCTTCTTACCTGTTTGTGTCACCAGGTCCCCTATAAATAATTCGAGTGTCCTGAGAGTCAGAGGGTGCACACTGCAGAGCTTGTGTGCGGTCACCCTGGGCGCCGCACAGTAAGGGATGCAGGGATGCAGTTGGAAGCTCCTGTGAGCTAAGGTGCACTGACCCTTACAGTGGTGCGTGGGGGGTCAGGAAGAGACCAGTGCCCAGAGAGGTGGTGAACACACTGTAACACCGCTTCACTTTGAAGCCGGGAGAAAAGTAACAAGAAGCCAGCTAGCTGTTGGTTATTACTAGCTCTAAAGGCCTGGCCCTCATCGCATCATAGGTGGTGGTGGTGGTGGTGAGTGAGGTGTGATCAAAAATAAGTGTGGAAAGCATTCATAACCGTTGCCCCTCAAAACACTTAGGCACGCCCCACTGTTCTTGCCACTGTCTGAAGCAGTTGTGGAAGTCCTCTGTCAGGAGTGTCATCAGCTGTGCTGTGGCTGCACTTTGTGTTCTAAACGTTTACCTTCTGTGGCCATTTGGACTCGGAGGAAGAGCCAGAAGCCGCCCAGAGCCAGATGAGTGAATGAGGGTGTCTTACGAGCCTGCCTTTCCTTTGGAGGGCGCTCGGCTGCAGTGACACTCTCTGTAGTATTTTTGATCATATGTCTTGGAGACACAAAAGACTTGCAGAACTGCTTCAGAAAGTGGCAAGAACCATGGGGTGTTTGAAATGAGAGAGTATTTGAAGAGGATTAATGGCACTGCCTTTTATGTATACCTTTGTTTTTTGAAATGAGGTCTTGATATGTATGGTCAAGGCTGGCCTCAAGCTTGTGATCCTCCTGCCTTGGCCTCCTGAGTGTTGCGATTGCTAGGTGTGCACCACCACACCTGGCCCCGTAACACATTTCTAACATGTAACCACATGGTGGTTTGGGTAGGCCCCAGTGAAAAGTCATGAATCAATTTCTTCCAGGCAGATGCTGGCAGAAGTGTTGGGCTGAGGAATGAGCTGGGGCAGTGCCTGGCCCTTCACCTGGGCTTGAATGGTAACGCTGGCATGTGATTTGGGCTGGAAAAGTAGGAAAGGGCGAGTTTTCTGATGGGGAGGGGAGTGGAAAGGTCAGAGGAGAGTTGGTGAATACATTGTAACACTGGTTCACTTTGAAGCTGGGAGAAAGGTAACCGGGAGACTTTTGAGTCAATACTCAAGAAATTGCACGTGCTACCAGCTTGGGGTGAGGAGAACTGGAGGAGGGTAAAGCTCAGGCAGGGTTTCCACAAGGGACCTGAGGGCTGTGAAGGCCCCTCCTGGTCTGTTTGCCCTGCAGCATTGGCTGGAGTGGGCCACAGACTGAAGGTGGCTTCTCCAGCTGGCTTTCTAGGCATCCCTGAGTTAGCCAGGACCTGGTGCTAAGAAAGCCGTTGTCAGCCAGCAAGAGAACACTGTCCTGGGGCGACTCCCAGGCCTGCTGGCCCATTGCTTGGGTCTGCAGCGAAGCTCCGCGGTGTGCACAGGTGAGTGTAGGAGGCTCGGCTGGAAATGCTCTGGCCCCAGTCACTCACGTGCACCCTGTTGGCCTGATGGATCAGGAAAGATGGGGATCGAGCAGAACAGCAGGTAGGAGTGTCCCCTCGCAGGTTCCCCGCTACTCGGGTCCAGTGGCCTGCAGGTGTGCTTCCAGCAGCCAGCCCTCAGAACTGGCTGCAGAGCCTAGAGAAGTCCAGACTCATGCCAAGCTGTCCTCTGTGGGTAGGAGAGCTGTGGGTGGAGAGGCAGAGCCTGCAGGGTCCCTTCCACTGTCCCTCTAAAGGGCGCTGGCCTGTCCTCTGGGAGGTTGCCACCCGCAGGCCTGTGCTTCACACCTGCCAGGACAGCAGCCCCCACTTCCTTTAGACTTAAGGGGAGCCAGGTGGATCACGGTTGCATGTGTGCTGGGCCCAGGTGCTGATGCCCCCCCCCCCAAGGGTCATGGCCTCAGTCACCGGAGGCCTGAACGCCGGTGACTCATCGCCAGGGAGGAGGCTCCGGAGGTCCTGGCCCGCAGTCCCACTTTATTGGTGGATTTCAAATTCAGGGTCAGTGCCTGGGTCCTAGTCAGCCTCCGTCGAGCCCACTCTCGGGGGGCAAGCCCTAGATTTTGAAGGCCAAGGTGAGGCCATCGCCCAGGGGCAGGAGGCTGATGTGGACCCTGGCGTCTCTCCAGATGCGCTCGTTCAGAGTTCGTACGCACTCGGCCTCCTTGTCGCCTTTCTGGGGCTGCAGCACCTCTCCCTGCCACAGGACCTGCGGGGGATGGGGCGTCACCGGGCGGAGGGGGCGCGGTCTCGGGAGTTACCCCAGCGCCTAGTGCCTCGCGCGCGCAGCCGGGCAGGGAGGCACTGGGACCCCGCCCCGAGCAGGTGCCGAGCGGTGCCTCGCGGTCCCTTACTCGGGGGATGGCGAGGACGCCTCCAGGCCGCAGCAGCTGCAAACACCGCTCGTAGTAGGCGGTGCAGTTCTCCTTGTCCGCGTCCACCACCGCCACATCGAAAGTGCCGGCCTCGCCCGCCGCTAGGAGCGCGTCTGGTGGGAGGAGCGGACAGTTGCGCTCACACGGGGCCGCGCCCCGAGAGGCGGCGGTGGGAGCTGCCAGGGCCCCGCGCTCACCCAGGGTCTCCAGCTCACCCAGGGTCACCAGCTCACCCAGGGTCACCAGCTCACCCAGGGTCTCCAGCTCACCCAGGGTCACCAGCTCACCCAGGGTCTCCAGCTCACCCAGGGTCTCCAGCGCGGGCCGCAGCCTCAGGTCGATCTTGGGCTCCGCCTCCGCCTGCGGGAGGAGCGAGGTCAGCGCCGCGGCTTCTCGCCCCGGGAGACGCCGCCACTCAGGGGCGCGCGACACTCACCTGTTGCCACAGGGGCCGCCCCAGCGCCGGGGGCCCCGCGTCCACCTCGCAGGTCACCACGCGCCCGGCTGGGGGCAGCGCCAGCGCGAGCGCCAGGGCGCAGTAGCCCGTGAAGGTGCCTGGGGACCGGGGCGCACACAGCTCAGAGCTGGGACCCGGGGCCACCGGCCCCGAGGGTCCCCGCCGTGCGCCTACCCAGGTCCAGCGCCTTCTGGGCTTTGACAAGCCGCACCAGGTTGGCCAACAGCTGCGCTTGCTCAGAGGTCAGCATGGAGTCCCCATGCGGCTGCTCCAGGGTCAGCTGTGGGGGACAGGGACACCAGCCCGAGTCACCCCCCCTGCCTCGGGAATCGGGTGCCTCGGGGCGCGGGGTGGGTGTGGTTCTCAGGGAAAGTCCTGGCGCCCCGTGGGGACCCGGAATCCCAGAGGAATCCCCCGCGCAGCCAAGGTCACCCGGCCACGTGGGGTCACCCGGCCACGTGGGGCCACCCGCCCGGCCCCGCTGACCAGCCGCAGACTGCGCAGCGCCGGATGCTCCCGCACGGAGCGGCTCAGCAGGTACTGCCACAGGGGACTGTCCTCGGGGGGCAGCAGGCGCTGCTGTCGCCGCCATCGCCACGGGGGCCACCGCCTCCCTGCCGGAGAGGACGTGAGGTCAGGGTCCGGAGTCCCGGGCTGTCTGCGCGTCCCCGCCTGCGCGCACACACCCGACCCCGAGCCCGCTCACCCAGGAAGACGCCCGTGACGAAGGCGGCGCCCAGCGCGGCCGAGCCCAGAGCGACCGCAGCAGGCACGGAGAGCCGGGGCACGGGCTGGGTCATGGCGCGCGGCGGCGGCCACAAGAAGCCGAGCGCGGAAGAGCCACGGCCCCCGCCTTGGACTCCTGGCTCCACCCTGCGCGGATCATGTCGGCGGAGCCGCTGCTCGGGCGCCACCTGGCGGTCTCATTGCCATCCTGCAAGCAGCTCCCGGTGACCGCATGCCCTCTGGTGGCCGCTCTTGGAATTGCTCCGGGCCCAGTATGGGGTCGCGCGTCCAGGAATCTGGTTTCTCCTGCCGGGCCCCTGAGGTCTAGAGGCCTGTGCCCGAGAGCACCAATCCAATGGCCTGCCTGATATGCTTCTTTCTCCTCGCCATCTTTTCTGCCCAGGCCAAGCGCACATGTGGATGTGCGAGTGCAAGGTGTCGCTATAACAATAGTGACCAAAGTACAGGTGACACAAATACAGGTATCCCAGAGAGCAAGGGAGGGATCTGGTTCAGAACTCGGGAGCCCTGCACCGGGTTGACTAATGAGGCTGTATGCCTGTGAGCCTCAGTTTTCTTTCGTGAAAAAGGGACCCCAGCTTTCACAGCTGCGACACAGTATGTACTCAATAAATGGCAGCTGCCGCCGTGATCATCAGCCGGCGTGAAGACTCCCTGGGAGTTAATGACGGCCCGGCGTCATTTTGTTGTCCACTGATTGAGCACCTACTGCGTGTCAGGCTCTGGGGGCCGCGAAGAATACTGCGCTGCTTCCCGGTTTGCACTAGCGTAAGGTCAAAGTGCAAAGGGCACACGACCATTTGGGTGGTGATGTTAGGAGACTTCACCCCCAGTACTGAGGATTCAACACAGGGCCTTCACACAGAGCTACATCCTCAGGCTTGTTTTACTTTTTATCTCTGAGATGAGACCTCGCTAAGTTACCCAATTTGAAATGGCTATCCTCCGTTTCAGCCTCCCAGAGTTTGGGGACCACCAAGCCCGGCCCATTTAGTAACAACCCTGGGTGGGCCTTGAGTTCCACGAGGCGGCGGGGTCCCGGGTGAGCGCCCACGGAGACAGGAGCTTCCCGGCAGACCCGGGAGAGGCCCCAGTTGGCCAGGTGCAGGGCTGGACTCCTGGAGCCCAGAGCACGGAATCCAATCAGACGAGGTGGCACCGGTGCTCTGGCCAATCAGCGGCTGGCTCAGGCTCGGTGGGCCTGGCGTGGGCGGAGCCTGCAGGACGCCGGCGGCCTTTGCGAGTCCCTTTACCACCCAGGCTACGGCTCCCTCTCCTCCCTCTGGGCTGAGCACACAGCAGGTGCCAAATAAAGGCTCTCTGAACAGCGTGCTGGGGTGCTGGTGCTCCTGGCTGGCAGATCTGCCCACTGGCGATGAGAGCACCTGCTGGGAACTAGGCGGGTCTCCAGTCCGGGTCTCCACTGTCTCCCTTTAGAGACAGTGTTGCTATGTAGCCCAGGTTGGCCTCGAACACAGCGTGTCGCGTGCCTCAGCCTCCCAAATGCAGGGATTACAGGGATGTACCACCACATCCGGCTGTTTTATGTTGAGTTAGCTCGCTGTGTAGTCTCTGCTGTGGACGAATTTGCAGGGCTCCTCCTGTCTCAGCTTTCCATTGCTCAGATTACAGGGGTGCACGCGTGCGGCTAGCTCGGCTAGTTCGCTCTTCTTGGCCTGTGGACTCTCTCTATGCACCCCGACTCCTTGCCCCGGGGCCGGGTGGGAACAGGCTGCCCCGCGCCTCGGACGCCTGCACCACCGCAGGTTCCCTGTCCCCTGTCGCATTCGATGACCACAGGCCCCCTGCTCCCAGGCCAGCTTCAGCCCGAGCCTCGGCAGGGAGGAAGGCTGTCACCATATATCCCCGTCAGATTAAAAAACTAATTTGAAAAGATTAATGTATTCCATTCTTGTTACGCTGGCTCTGCTACCTCTGGGCCTGCGGCCGCGCTGCCTCCTGATTATTGAATTTTTATGGCCTGGTAATTAATTGCAGATTCCCTGTTTTGTTCTATTTCTTTTTCTCTGACATTTTAATTTCAACAAAAAGCAGTGGTCTCGAGCAGGTTCTCTCCGGAGATCCTAATGGTCTATAAAACAGGATGACTTATGGACGGACGCGGCACCCACTTCGGCGGGCGGCGACGGCCGGGAACCTTGCTGAGCGCGCGGAATTGGCCGCCCGCGGCTCCCGGAGGCTCCGCCTGCGCCGGCTGGGCCGGGCCGTTCCCCCGGAGGGCTCGCCCTTCCGGGAAGGGCCGCTACCCTAGGCCCCCGGAGCCGGCAGGTTGGCCAGGTGGAGGGCGGGGAGCGGGGTCCCCGAGGCCGCGGCCTGCGGTTCCGCCCGGGCCGTGCGGGTCCCTGCGAGGGGAGGCGGGAGGGAGCGGCGGGGACTGCGGCGGGCGTCGAGCGCGCTGGCCACCAGGGGGCGCCGTCGGGGCGCCGGGCTCGGGTGGGCGGAGCTCTGGTAGGCGGGGCGAGGGCTCGGGTAGGCGGGGCGAGGGCTCGGGTGGGCGGGGCTCCCGGGTCTCCAGAGGCCCCGGAAGGGACTCCGCACCCAACCTCGCGCTTGGAGGCCTGCGCTCCCGGGTTGGGTTCTGTTTTTTAAACCCTGACCTCTGATTGATTCTGAGCGTGGACCAGAGGCGTCAGGATGGGCAGCGCGGTCCGGGCCCAGAAGGGGAATCATGAGATGGGGGGAGGGGGGCCCTCACTGTATAGCCCAGGCTGGCTTCGAACTCGTGCTGTCCCCCAGGATGGCCCCGAGCTCACCATCCTGCCTCAGCCTCCCGAGTGCTGGGAGGACAGGCGGGCGCCACCACGCCCGGCCATCCTTGGGCTTTTGAGAGCTCAAGGCCGGCTGCATTCTCCCCTACTTTGGGCCACCGGGATAATCCGGAGGACCCCGTTTTAAGGCAAGCTTGCTGATCACCTCAGTTAATCTTGCCGTGTAGGGGAAGCGACATTAGTGGCGGAGACCAGCGGCCTCCTTTCTCTGGGAGAGGGGATGGGGTTCGTGTGCTCCTTCCTGGTCCCCGGGAAGTGGGGTCCCCCCAGTTCTAGGGGTCACGTTGGGGGCTCCATTTCCCAGATGTGCAGACGGAGACTCCCAGCCACACTGTCGTCCCAGCCCTGCACGGATGAACCCTTGCCAGCTCCTGCCACTCACAGCACACGTGGACCCCTGTTGTGCCGGCGCCTCCCCAGGGGCTGTGCTGGCCGCTGGGTTTTCCCGGGACAGCCTGGGCGTGGCCGTGTCCTTCCTTGTTCTGCGCCCTCCCAGCCTGATACCCCGAAGCTCCCAGGGTCTGCTGTTTGCAACAGCGTGAATTCTGTTGTTTGCAATGGGGTGGATTCTAGCCTGGTGTGAAGGCACCCACTGTCATTCTAGCACTCTGGGAGGCTGAGGCAGGAGAATCCTGAGTTCGAGCCCAGCCTGGGCAATTTAGTGACTTAGCAGGACCCTGCCTCTAATCAGCCGCCACGCCCAGCTCTGGAGGATAAACTGTGACCGCTCTCAGACTCATCCCCGTCCCCCTCTTTCCCTAAGACATCTGCTTTCTCATTCTCCCTTGCCTCTAGGAGTGACCGTGTGACCCATTTCTGGCTGCAGATAAAGAGGTGCTTCTCATGACATTTTCCTTCCTGATAACAAGAGCCCCTTTTTCACACTATGTTATCTTGAATGGGGTCGATGGTTTGGGGCCACGGCAGCCACCTTGTGGGGCTGAGCCAGAAGCACACTGGTGAGGGGAGAGAGAGCTGGTCCTTGAGGACGTGGTCAGGCCCGAGCCACCCCGTCACCTCCCGCCTTGGGCTCCTGTCACCGCCAGGCTGTGCCCTTGTCTAGAGGCTGTGATGGGCCGGTGACACCTGGGTGCATTGGGGGGCAGGGGTTCCTGCTTGGTTCCCTCCAAATTGCCTTTTACGTCTGTGCACACTGGGAATCGCGCCCCCCAGCAGCGAGGTCTCCGGGGTCCCGCTGGGATGTGCTGCCCCGGAGCGGTGGCCGCAGGGAACCGGCTTGCAGGGGACAGCACGGGTGCAGAGGCCCACACGGCGCCCACTCTGGTGAGTCCCACTGAGTCCGTGTGCGTCGCCCTCCTGCCCGCGTGGCAAAGGTGAGAGACCCGCGGTGCAGGTGGGGTGGGGAGTCCGGGTCAGGGTCCAGCCTGAAGCCCAGCAGAGCAGGTCCGTGGCCTCGGCTCGGCAGGGAGGCCCAGTGTCACAGCCCTGATTCCGTCTCACTTCTGCCACTCGCTCTGGAGAAGCCAGTGGCTCCCCAAAGAGTTAAAGATCTCACGGTCCAGAGATCCACGCACATCCATACACAGCAACACCGGTCACAACAGCTACATCTTGGAAGTGACCTATATAAGGTGAACCGATACAGAGAATGGGACATTTATACCCCGTGGAGTACTGCTCTGGCAGAGGGAGGGGTACACTTGAGCGATTTGTAGGAAAATGGCCCCTTAAGGCTCTGTTAAGTGAAATAAATCAGACACACAGACGTAAACATCACATGGTGTCTCTTCAGTGAGAAGCCCAAAGCGTAAAGAATTAAAGAGAGGGCTGGGGATTCAGCTCAGCGGCATAAGCGTCTGCCTTGCAAGCAGGCAGTCGTGAGTTCGATCCCCGGTACCGGTAAAAAAAAAAAAAAGAATTAAAGAGAAAATAAAAGATGGATAATGGGAAAGAGGGAGATAGATGTTCTTCAAAAGAGAAAGGGACTAAGAGATGGAGGAGGGGAGAGAGCGAGGGAAGCGGAGGAAAAAGAGTGACGATGTGTCTGTACGTGACCAGCTCCCCAGGAGGAGTGCAGTCATTACACGCTGCAAACATGTACACTAATAAAGTATTAACTAGAGAAAAGGAAAAATATACGTGTTGAAATTACAGAAAAATGTGTCACAGCAAAAGACGCGTTGCCTCGAGTCCCCCTCAAACGACTTCCCCCACCTACCCCATGCTTCCAGCACTTTCTGCCTCAGCTCTGCTGTCCTCCTCCGTGAGCGTCTTCTGTTGTCCTGGGGTGGGTGCCTTGATGTCCTGAATGGATACACATTCACTTTTCATGGTCACTCTGACTCTGGGGAAGAGCCAGGAGTTGAACAGTGCACGTCCGGTGACTAGGGTGGCCGA